GCGAGCCGAACAAAGGCAAGTCGTTACTCACTGCGGCCTGCGCGTAAATCTGTTAATAAATAAAAGTTAATCCTCGAGTTTGTACTGGATTAAATAGCATAGCATAGAAATTGACATTATTTACAATTTCCGGTTGCCGTGCAACTTAATTTAATATCAATACGAAGTTTTCGGCACACATTGTAAACGCCAAAAGCTAAAAGCCAGGAAAAGTACCATCCTGCCATRAGGAGTTTCAGCACACACGTAAATACTTGCGCACACACACACAACTATATACACATGCATACATATATAAAACCATATATACACCTACATACGCTTACAATTGGCATAAGCAGCATTAAGGCCGCCGCTGGGCATACACGACGTATACGCAATGTATCATGCGCTAGTAGTGCGATAGATATGTTTGCCACGAACGGGGATTAGGCGATGCGTGYGCCAGAGAGTTGTAACAACAACGACAACATGTTTGTATTTGTGCAGGAGTAGTGTCTCACTTGTGTCACAAACACAAACACAAACACTCCCACATATGCAGGCAAACAGACAAAGATTGTGGGAATATGCTTATGCCTGGCAGCGTACAAGTAACGATAAAGCAAACAATCTCATACGCGCCACGCGCACTTAGCGTTGTCAGCCGTTTTCCTACTTATGTGCGCACAGCAGCAAGCATATATATGTATAAACCTTCGCAGTTGACTTCGTGCGTGTAATTTTTGGTGAACTTGCCGAAAGTGATGACTGCGCGCAAATTGCCACTGACTATTTGTGTACCGAAGGTGGGCTTTCGATACGAAAGTATGTAACTGCACACACATACATAGTGTATGGTAAGAAAGTAGTAGAAAAGCGGTGTCTTCCACACGAAATTTCGTGTTTTTTTTTTTTTTTGTGGTAATAAAAATGCGTTGCCTGCTTTTGGGCGCTTGTCGTTGAAAATGGTAGAGCAACTGTTGTTGTTGCAAATCTATTCAACTATCAATTTCGGCATCAAGCGCTTAGTTTGGTGTTTACCGGCAAACTGCTGTGAAACAGGGAAAATATTTCAGTTTTAGTGGCGTGTATTTATTTGAGTCTAGTTTGATGTGTCATCGCGTTGATGGCATGCCATACGTTTGTCGATAAGAGTTTTAATTTATCTTTGCTGCTGTTGGCGCTGCATTTCAGGTTGGTATATTGAAATTGCACGCAGTAATTGTATGTGAAGAGAAATTAGATATTTTATTTTCTTTATCAATTAATAATATTTTCTTTTTTTAAGTTTTATGTGTCAATCACATGAAATCTAAATCCATATCAATAAACAAAAACGAAAGGTGATTAAATATTTTATTTTGTCTGTTTTCCGAGTATAGAAATTTTTTAACCTCTCATTTGGATCACATGAGATGCACATACTTTATTATTTGAAAATATATTTAATTAATGAAATTGAAAATTAATTGATCATAGGAGTTTTAAAATTAAAACCAACTGGCAACGCTATAAAATTCATATATTAGRTTGTCAAATATCTCCCTTTCGCCTTTTTGCTCTTTATTCAATGGTTTATAAAAAGTGTTACATTGATCGGATTTAGTTCAAATATGCGCCGTTTCGTTCGCTAATCTGTTTCCATCTAGACGACAACTTCATAATATCCCCCTCGTAGAAGCCAGAACTCGGACTTTACACCAACAAGGGCGTTCGCATGGACAGGAACAGATGATAATCACTTCGCGCTATGTCCGGGCTATTGGATGATATAAAACCTCCCATTCGAGCTCCCGTAGCTTCTGACTAGTCATCAACGAAGTGTGTGGTCTGGCATTGTCCTGGTGGAATACTACACTCTTCCTGTTGGCCATTTCTGGACGCTTCTTGTCGATCGCCGGTTTCAAGCAGTCTAATTGTTCGCAGTAGATGGTAGAACTCAACGTCTGGCCACATGAGAGCAGCTGATAATGGATGATTCCCTTCCAATCCCACCAAACACACAGTAAAATCTTCCTGGCGGTCAATCCCGACTTGGCCACTGTTTGGGACGACTCATGGCCTTCGACCATGACCGGTTTGCGCTTTATATTGTTTTATGTGTTCCATGTTTCGTCGCCAGTGAGCATCCGCTTCAAAAATGGGCGTTCGTTCCGTTTCAGCAGCATATCGCAGGCGTTGTTCCAGCAGGTGTTTGTGCGTCAAATGATCAAGGTTTTTTGTGTATCCAGCCTTCTGCAGATGTTTAAAATGGTTTGGTGACTAACTCCCATTTTCTGGGCGATGTCACRAGATGCCACATGCCGGTCGAAYTCGATGTTTCCCATGAATTGATCGGTATTCGTYGTCATAGGTCTTCCGCCGGCTGGTTTATCCATGGTGGCGTTCCCGCTCTGAATCGTCGAAACCATTTCTCCGCAAATCAAAGTGAAAATCGCACTTACGCAGCTAGCGCAGCTTTGTACGCGATTGTAATGCCCAGAAATTCTGAATTTGAAACGAGAATATCGACGCATACCGACAAAATGCCTCGCGTCTGCCACACAATTATTGAGACGGCTAATATCAATTCCAACCAGAGATTGCTTGGATCATAGAAGCTAAGCCAATGGAGATAGTTCAATCTTAGACCGGCGAAAGCTTGACAATAGTGGTGGACCATCACCTCCACCTCAACTTCTTATATGCAACATTGAAGAGTTTRAGTTCCAAAATCCTTAGCCTCACCGAACAAGCGTCAATAGGATACCGTTCAGTTAAAACTAACATTATTGTGGCGAGATAAATTTTAAATCGACCTCTTACGTTCCACTTTCAGCCAGAAAGTTTTTGTGACTGGACATATGCTAGTCACTAACCAACGCTAGCTAAGCTCGATGTTCATAGATGCAATGCCAGGATGCAATAGAACAGGAACCTGTGCAGCCGCTGGTGTGATTATAACCGAAGAGGTTGTTATAGCAAAATAAAATATAGAAGTAACTTGACATTACCGCTAACGAGGTCATGCACTTCTTGAGTAGTTTTAAACGCACTGTCAACAATCTTAAGATCTTTACAACAGCTCTACTATTGGAGTAAAAGTAACGCCTTGAAACAAGAAAGAAGCATCGATTCATCAGTTAAAAGGCTCATTGCACGTCTGCTCCATTGATTACGCCACACTCTTATATGTATGCACACTGGAATAGCAGAAGTGCCCTATTGACGTTTCATAGTTGCAATTGGAGCACAATAGACTTTAGGTCGCGGTACAAACCTCATTTATTAATTATCAGAGCGCAAACCTCGCTTCGAGACTACATTTCCGTCAGAAAAAAGCCAATATATGAGATGACTGAGGATCAATTCGAGTTCAAACTTTTCAAGAGCTCTAACAAACGTCTCCAGCCGTTGTGGAAAGCTCACTCAATATCCAGAAATGTCACCGCTGCATATTTCTTGCACGTAGTTGTACTCTTTGCTACATGTAGAGTAGCGTTTACCCACTTTCCTTTACAGTAAGCAAGCTGATCCCCTAATATTTGGTGCTTTGTTACTACTGTCCAACTATAMAAGTTCATAAAAGAAACCTGGAGAACCTAATAGACTTGAAATCCTTGGCAGCGACATGTAAACTTTTGCCGGGCTTCGGGAAAATATATCAATTTCCTGAATTTCTCTTTACTACGAAAAGCCCAACATCCAAATAAAAGCGTTGTGCTTGCAAACCGACACCTTAATCTTGGACATTAAAAAAATTTTAAATTCTAGTCAACTTACCACATGTGCTTGAGCGCACTCGTCAATGTAATGTGTTGTAATTATCACAGTTGTATTCCCAGTTTTTGTGATGTCAACCAGATGATCCCAGATACTAGACGAAACATGTGGAAAGATAAAAACAACCGAAAATTAGAATATGTGCATGCACGTAAATGTATGTGCCCACGTGCCGCAGACTATTCAATTACCTTTGCCGCAAGACTGGATCAACGCCCACAGTCGGCTCGTCAAGTATCAGCAATTCCGGTTCGTGCAACAGGACCACGGCCAAACTCATGCGTCGCTGTTGGCCACCGCTGAGATTTTTCACCTGCCGCGAACCATTTGGCAGATTCAAAAATTTCAACAAAAATTCCGTGCGGTCATCGATATCGTTGCGGGCCATAGCCGCAATCGTGCCGAAGTAGATTAGTGTTTCGCGCAACGTGAACTCGCCATAGAGTGCAACTTCCTGTGTGTGTACGAAAAAAAAAAAGAAAGAGAGCAAAGAAAAGCAACGTTACAACAATGCAGGTGAAAGAATTCGATGAACAACAGACAATGTAAGCGCACACCACCGGAGTTCGCATAAAAAAGCCGAGAGTGTAAAGTAAAAAATGGAAAACGAAAATTGCAATGGACTGGAATGCAAGTGTGTGAGTAAATAAATAAGAAATGAAGCGTGAATTCGTGTTTACCATAGGAAAGCAGTTTAATTGAGGAACAGAAAAACTTTGGCAACTCTACCACACTCAGTTTCGRCTGACGCCTTTGCGGCATAGTAGTGTCTATGGAGCTTGCAACGACTCCCCCTGCTACCCAGCCGAACTCACGTGGGTTGCCGTCAAAGGCGTTTAGCCCTTCTTATATCAACTGGCGCTAATAGCTAGCGGGTTCCTTAAGAGACCTTCGAACGCAATTATCAAGTTAAGCTGGCGGCAATTTGGGAACGTAGGAACTTGAGTCCTGCGCCGTTACTAATCAACCCTTCTGAATAAGGAATAGTATTATCGTTAAATRCAAGTGAATAAAGAGCTCTAGAGCTTAAGGAATATACTCCGGGCGTTTCCTATGGTCACTTGACGCTAATGAGCTTCTGGAAAATATTTTAAAGTGAAGCACATGGACTGATATCCCTTAGGATGACACAGCTACACTAGTGACGGGGAAGTACCTGGATACAATAAGTTAAGTGATAGACAACGCTCGAAGGTTCATACACTGACGGGCGATATCGGTCAGCTTGGAGACAATTGCCGATAAGACCGCAATGGTACTCTGTGCAAAGAGGTATAGTACCGGACTTGGAAAACTATGAAGTGAGACCTCAGCTGCAAAATTGACAGCCTTAGGCGGGTTCTCCTCAAAGACCTTCGGACATAGTCAATAAGGATAGGGTTGGTGGATTAAATAGANTATATAGGGAGCGAAGATTTCAAGCCACACAAAAATAGGGTAGATGCCTAGGAGCATGCGGCTCGACTGCAAAACTTACAGCATCTACACAGATGAATCAAAAATGGAATGGGACCCGGAACCTGTTGTTCGAAGCTTGATCTCAGGCGACTTTTCGAAATTCCGGAATGCTGCAATTTATTTCAGGAGGAAGTCTTTGTGGTAAGGAAAGCATCTAAAATAGCTAACAACAGTTGTGTAGGGTTATCAAAGAGGTGGTTGATGTTATGGGGGGACTCGTTGCACCCTGGACATATATTTGATTTGTCAGGACCGAATCTGTATAATAAAGAGTTTAACCTGCTACAGTATCCAGAACGAAGCTGCGAAAGAGTCACTTTCATTTCTCGCGGCAACTCGAGCTCTTTGCCTGCGATGTGTATTGGTCTGATTCCGAGTACGTCAATTCATGGTAGGGAGTCGGTGTGGGCTCTACTGTGAATAGCGGTTAGTAGCTGTCGGAAGTTTGTTGCGTCCGAAGTCTGGTCGGCGAATAGTCTAATGTCGTCGACATAATTGAGGAATGACCTCTGGAGTACAGTGTCTAAAGCTTCTTTGTCTGCGTTCCACTGCATGCAGGGGACCATATTGGCGCGGCGTAGTTGAGGACCGCGAAGGACGATTGTTAGTTTGATGACAGGTCACAACCTATTGACAGCATATGTGAGGCTGATGGCCACAAGTAATGACGCTACAAGCAGGAAAAGCAGTGAGGTTGGCAACAGGGAGACACTGAAACATCTCCTATGCCTGTGTCCAGCACTATCTAGAACTCGTCTTAAGTATCTAGGAGCTTCGCAGTTCAAGAGATTAGATAAAGTATCAAAATTTGAGATCAAGTCACTCGTAAAGTTCGCAAAAAGCATTGAGTTTTTATGACGAAAACTACAGCTAAATTTAAAGTGAACCAATTGGCATTTCTAAGGACCAGTGGGTATATGTGTGGCATCATTGCCGGTCAGTATAACCGAATAACACTTCTAAGATCAGGAAGTGATTATCTGTAAACCCGAAATAGTGTTGTTAAAACAGCAGCAATAAATCAAATATTTGAATGAAACTCAACAAGAAAGAAAAGAGAAAAAAGAAGGAGGAGATATAGAGAATGAGAGAGGGGTAGAAAGTATTATCTGTATAGAGAGAAGGAATGATAAAATGAGAGATGGTTTGAGAAAGTGAAAGTAAGAGCAGGAGGCTTACAGAGTGATAAAATAGGTTTAGAACAGGTAGACCTTRACTTTAATGGGTGTGACGATGTTAGTGTTAACTATCGATGTAAGAAATTAAATATGCGCTAGGAAAATTATTAGGCCGCTCCCCTACAAACGCGGAAAACAACTGTTTACAATAATCAGGGTATTGATATTATTGCGTGTTTTTTTTTTTTTTTTTTTTTTTTGTTGTGAGTCTTGAACTTTATCTGTTCGTGAGGGAAAGCGCTTTAGTCTCGCATTGGAATCGTTTTATAATCTCTTGAAATTTTAACTCTAACACTTTAAGGCAGTTAAACTTTCAAAATGTCTCACTTCAAAGTTGCCTCACACGCCCGCCATAATCTAAAAAAATTCCTTTTCAGTTAAACTTCGTGGCGGAAACTTTTTAATATACCAACAGCTGAAAATAAATCATTTTTCATTGAACCAAACTGCAAGCAATAGCGACAGCAACAATGTAGCACAGCAGTGCAAGAATAGGGGCAATACACAAAGCGCAAAACATTTAATCCGMTCTTCAAAATGTCGTTCATAAGCTATTTGTGGTGCGCGCAGAACAAGCACGCACACATACAAACCCAAGCGAATGCCTTTTCTTCGGCGACGCCATCAATATAGCAATTCGATGGTATCTGCGCGCATTTAAGCATTTAAGCAGCTAGGGAGCTCAGCTCAAGAGCTACGCTTGTTGTCTGACATGGCCTGTGGGAGTTTCGTTATTATGGCAGCAATCGGCGACACCGAAGCACACACACACACACCCGCATATGCGCGCATACAAATGTTTTGCGCATAAGAAGAGACAACATTTTGAACAACAACAAAAACAAGACAAAAACAATTGAGCGCGCTCAGCAAGATTCTATGAATAAGCCGCGTCGCGCTGCTACATTTTATGTTGCGCGCTCGCACATTTTGCTACGAAAGTTGAAGAAGGAGTTACGCGGTGGGTGTGGATGATGGYGCGCGTTAGACGGGCGGGCGCTTTGAATTTGGTAGATTTATGACCAAAAAGCTGCGAACAAGTGTACAGTGGTGACTACAAACGAAAAGTGCGGTGCTATGGCGACGTCAGCGCGCGCGGCATGTGTGTGTGTGTGTGCGTGCGTGTAACCGCGCTCGAGGCGTCGGGAATGGCATTGACGGTTATTGCGGCGAGCAAGCAAGCGCGCACATATTCACATTTATATACATACATATATATGCATGCTTTCATGAACGCGCTTTTGTTCTTATTGTTGTTGTSTTTTTTCTTGTCTTGTCTTGCTTCATCCTTGAGTTGTCGCTCACAAATCCGCCCATAATCCCGCACTGTATTCATGTAAACGCGTCACAATGGACACGCCGCAYTGGCGAGCGCAGCAAATCGTAAAGTATGTGAACGCGCGCGCCGCGGCTGGCAGGGCGTACGAGGCGCGCTCGTATTCCATGTTGGTTGTTTAACCAGTTCGAAGGTTTCTCTTTTTTGCGCAACAACTTGAACAATTTTACATATGTGGTTATATGTGTGTGTGTGCGCGGCCATTTTTTCGTCACTTTATTTTTTTTTATCACTTCATTTTTTCCATGCAACACGTTCTGCCTGCACCATTTGCTCGCATTAAATTCTTCAGTTTTCACTTTCATTTCCTTTTTTTTTTGCCTTTAACTGCTTTCTTCGACTTTCGTGTTGCCACTGCATATGCAGCCAACTTCGCTCGCCAGTGGAGCGTAGTGCGTACTTAGTTTTGAATGCTCGCAAGCGTGTGTGGCATGCAACGTCATAGCGTTAATATGAAGTATTTAATGCCAACTGTAGCTGTGGCCAATACAACTCTGCGTAAAGTGTTTGAACGTTGCGCGTTAAGTGTGTGAAGAGAGTATGTTAAGAGAATAAAAATCCTTTTACCGTTAAATCTATATAAATACACATGCACTGCATACATATAGCATATCCACGGGCAACCGTTATCAACGCCTTCCACAGTTGCGATGTAGATAAAGATATTAAAACGGCAGCTTGTAGATTTTAAGCTGCGTTTGCAGTTTCCWAGAAGCGATAAGACAGCGCTGCGGCGACAACACTTAAAAGCTAAAAGCGACATAAACAAAAAACAMRAAAGGAAAAAGAGAATCAGGGAATAAAAGTGGGATAAAAAAAGAATCGGAAAGACGCCACAGTTATAAGTTTGAAAGCTTCTTTATGTTGTTGCACAAAATTTTRCACTTCTTTCGTGTCTCGTGGTATTTGCAACCGGTTATAGAGACCTTTGAAACCGAGAAAAAATGTGTTTTACTGCTGCAGCGCGGTAGATTACGGACGCAACATAAAAACTTGGTCGAACCTGCTAACGTTGTTTGTGATCTTGTTCTCGTTTGTAGACAGATCTCAACAAAGTATGAAAATTTTATAAACTTTTACAAGTCTACTGTGCAACAGGCTATTCTCATCATATTTTTTGGTGCACTATGAACCACAGCAACTATGGCACTGAATGTCTTACAGCATATATCATATCACTCGCAATGTGCATGGTCGCGAAAGCTGTCCAGACTCAGTGACTCTGGGTACTTGGATGTATGCGAGTCTGGGCATACTGAAATCCTCACACATTTTGATCCCATTTAAAATTACTTGGATTACCAGGTCGCCGAGCTTAACACTGGCGGTCGCTGCTCTGCCCACATACCTTCGAGATAGGCATTGAGCGAAGCACTCGCTGGAGGAGAAGGGCGCTGAGCCYTTTTACCGATAGGTCAAACAATTGGTAGAGAAGTACACTGTTGGGAGCTTTCCATCAACTTTAGTTTTAGACATCCTCACCACTGCAGCGTCTTCCAAAGCAGAGGTGACTGCCATAAAGGTAGCAGTGGAGCTACTGCTCCGGAGCGCAATCTCCTGCAGAGTGCTTACTATCAACTTTGATATTTGGAAAGCGTTATTAACTTTGAGTTCGCTGAGTGAGCGCGCAAGACTAGTGAACGTATGTCTGGACTCTTTATCTCAGGGATAGAGTTATGTAATGATATACTTGATAAGTACTTCCGTTTCAATAATTGAGCAGTTTTAACGAGTAGAACCTCCGTTGGATTCTTGTGGTACCATGTTAGACTGTTGAGCCCACAAAACAAACTCAGCAAGTGTGAGTCGATGTAGAGTCACAAATTCCTTCTGATGCGGAGTAAATTGTATGAACTCGAAGGAACTCAACTCTCAGCAATGGAAACATTCAATTGTTAGCAAGAGTTCTTACTCGACACGGTCCGCTCGAACTTCATGCAGTCAGATTGAATATCCTTCCAGTTGGCAGCAGCATCACCTCTACGGATGAAGAGGAGATAGCATCATCGCTATGAGAGAAGCTTAAAATATCACAAATTACTTAAAACGCGAAAGTGCATAGCTTTCAACAACGCGTGAAAATTCTCGAAATTRCAGTTATAAAATAATTTGCAACATTCAAATGTTTTTGCTGTTGCCTTTGTTTTTATTTAAGTGTTACAAAAGTAGCTTATGCGGTGGCTTTGCGCTGCGTTAAAGTACTTCGCAGTATTTCGAATTTGTTTGTTGCTGTTGCTGCTTTTTTTTCCATGTGGCGCTCAGAAAATCCAGTCATTCATTTCTTGTGTCTACAATGCACTCACACATGTGCACGTGTTATGCTTTTCCTTATATTGCACACTGTTTCGCTACGAATGGAAGACGAAAAGCTTTTCATAATCCAAACACTTACTCTCCAACAGTTTCTCTCCTTTTATTTCACTTGAGCATGAATGCGGGTCTTTTTGCTATAGCTCCAAAGCCGATTTGTTGTATGTATGAATGAGACAGACATATTGTTGGTGATGTATCTTCTTTTCTTTATTCTTTAGAACCGTTTAACTCAGAGCAATACTTAGGTAAGCTAAATAAAATAGGCAGGCTCCAAGTTACTTGAACTTTAGCTTTTTAAAGGTTAGGTTAACTGAGGTTAATCTGGTAGGTCAATAAGCCACGCATAGACCAGTTTTATTCCTTTGCGATACCGTATACCCAGAGGTATAGTCATTCCTTAGGACGCCTGCGCTTGGCAGGAATTTCAACATACACAGTGGCCTCACCAGCGATACCTGCAACAGTGTATCAGGCCGTGGGGAACCCAGATGTGATACATTGTTTCCATGGGGCTAGGCTTTTCCTGCAGTCTTCTCGCAGGCGCGGGTCGCCTCCAGATTGTGCCCAGTTAGTATTTCCATCATGTAGCTAACATAATTCTACTTCAACCATCTTCTTCTATGTTTACTTAGAACCTTCTTTCTCAGTTCAAAAGTGGGGTCATGTAATCAGTGTTTGCATAACCTACATTACCCACCGAGCTATGTCCGAAAGCAAACTGTAAACTTAAGTTGAGCGAGAGTTCAAATCTCTAAAGAGAGACATTTATTAGACGCTTACAGAATAATAAACACGATAAAAGAGAGATCATCGAAAATCTTAACGTTACGTCTGCTCGGAGAATACAACAAAGCGAACTCTTTGCCACAAAGAGTAGCTGCAATTTTATTGAAAAGATCAGCGACAATTATTCAAATTTAAAGCTTCCTGCCTACATATTTAGAATGGTGTGGTATTCGGCAGTGTGATAAATAAATTTTTCGTAGAAAGTCCAAACTGAGGAGGCCAATTTTGAATTCAACATTAATGTGTCTGRATACGAAACTCACCTGAGGCATGTAGCCGATACGTGGACCAGGCACACCCGAACCTCTAGACCCTGGACGTCCACCAAGCACCCATATTTCACCGGAGTTCAAGCGGCGTCTGCCCACGATGCAAGAAAGTAGTGTAGTCTTACCGCAACCGGAAGCGCCCAAGAGGCCATAACTGGAAGAGAAATAAAGATATCAAAACAGTTAATATAACCAAATATAAACAAATTGAGGTTCGGGCTTATACAGTGATAAATTTATAAAGCCTATATTTCGCATGAATCCTTAAAAATATTTTCAAGCCCAAAAAAATAGAGAGCGCACAAATAACCTCATGTTAAATGCGCTTATTCTTTATCCTCATTTAATTTATTGCTTTTCTCAGCATTCACACACACACATAACTCTCATACCCTGGCGATCGACAAACACATGATGGCAAATAAATTAAACTTTTAATTACACACTTGTTACTTAGCAGCTCAACTAAACTTTCATTACTTATACGTTTAATTATAACACATTCCTGCTGAAGAGTGGCGAGCGTCATGAGCCAGCGAAATGARCAATTGAGCGAAGACCAGTGAAATGAACAACTGAGTAATTAGTGTTGCGAACGAAGTTAAATGCTCAAGTGTGTCGGTAAATACAGTAAAATCCCTTTTGAATAAATTCCGATGAAAAATACGGTATTTTGAGACTTTTAAACGGTTCGGCTGCTTAAGCGAGTCAACTATGTTTACTCATTTGTATGCATAGACATGATAAGTGCGCTAAAAATAGCGAAACTATTAAAATATCAAATAATACAAAGTTCAGTTAAGAGCGAGGAGATAAGATGCTTTGAATTCTTTACCACTGAATTGTACAGTGGGTTGTGCTATCAATTATGCACTGTTAATAGCTGTCTTGGCAAGAGTTCAACTGACATTAGCTACTCAGGTACTCCAAAGTGCTGCTATAAAAGATAAATTTTATTCTCAAGAACTTATCAAGCAAGTATCGCACCTCAGAGTATGCGGAAGTTGTACCATATTTTTTAAAGATCGTGTCAATTTTGATCGGTTCAAAATTCGAGACTATTATGAAATGGATTTGCATATGGAAACTCCGGTGCTCAATTGATGAAACCATTATTAGTTTCACGAGCAAAAATGACATTAAATTAAAAGAAATAAGCTGGAGCTGTTATAGTCAGCAACCACCAACAAGATAATTTCCAAAGTACCATCTAACAAAAAACGATTCCACTGACTCTAGATCAGTCTGAAATTGTCAACAAGATAGTTTCCGATCTAACAAAGAATGATTCTCCCGACTCTAGATTGGTCTGATATTGTTAGAACCCACCAACAAGATAATTTCCGAAGTACCATCTAACAAAGAACGATTTCGCTGACTCTAGATCAGTCTGAAATTGTCAGAGCCCGCCAACAAGATAGTTTTCGATCGATCGACTCTAGATCTAGTTAAACATGCCCGGCATAGATTGGTCTGATATTGTCAGAACCCACCAACAAGATAATTTCCGAGGTTAAATAAAAAATCTAAAATTGTCATATTATTAAAGGCTGCGTAAACAATGCTTCGAGTAGCAGCAAGAGCCATAGTCCGCAAATAGAGACAGGTTGTACGATTTTCGGTACTACAAATATCATAAGTCCATACTTATAACTCTAACTTCTCCATTCTGTTAGATTGAAAGCTCAATTTTTTGTAAATGCTGAGATGCCAGTACAAGTTACATTTTTGATTATTCAGAGCAAAACCGTTCAGATTTGACCTAGACTCTAAAGCTTTGCTGCAACTAACCGCAGAAATAATTTTTCCGCATTGAATGTTTTTACTCCAACACTTAACGTCTTATCGAACGACACTCGTGGCATTAAAGTACTTTTATTACYGTTAGCAATACACATGCACTTAAGCTTGTAAGCAGCTTTGTAAATATGCAGTTCAAAGTTTAAATCCAATTACACGCCAGCGATTGAGTTAAATTAAAGCGAAAATTCGACTGCAGCACTACTGTATGCACTTAAGCACTTACTATGTACTTAAGTGAAATCACAAAGACACAAACACTCATATCTTCGATATCGAACTTCATGCTCACCGATTTACTAACACTTTCGCCGCAACTTAATAATTAATCTGTGAGTTCCATGGGCGGGCAATTAGACTTGGTGTACAACAAGTATTTGTGCACCTCGAAAATGTCCATAAATATTTCGCAATCACAGCACAAACTCACAGCGCGTCATAATTCACTAGCCGCACACCTTGCACTCTCTCTCCGTCGCTCTCCCTTCCACACTAACTCAGCGCTCGCGTCTCTAAAGAAAGCTCTATGGCAAGTTTTCTATTAACCAATTGTTCCGGCATTCATAGATATATACCTACATTTATTCCTGTATATATGTTTGTATGTATGAGAAATTATATATCTGTACGTTCCTTAGTTCGCAGACATGTCAATTAGTAACGCAGTGCTACACATTGAACAGGTGTAATTTGGCCAGTTACTGGGCGAACGCTTACATAGTATGCTGTTGCCACATGCACCTGCCACATGCCACTTGCCACTTATTCTGCTTGTCCTACTTGCCACTCACCGACTGTGCCAACACTTTTGTAAACTATCTGGACTGCTGGCCTCCAACTAGTTGCCCTTCAGGTGAGTCTAATGCAATGAATTGTAAAAAATTTTCAAACGGAAGAGTCTTAGCGGACACAGGGACCGACGGTGGTGCAAATGTGCAATTCAATAGACTCTCCACAGCTGTCGAATTACGTAAATATTTTTGCCGCATTGCAAATTATTCGTTTCTAGTAGTGTGCACGTCGGTACTAGTTTAATACCCAGTGCGCGTAAAATAATTGGTTTTAAATTTTRAGGTTATGCGAAAAAAATTTGGTTATTGTAAAATTTAGAATATGGCCAACTTCTTCAAATTTCATTTCTAAAATAGTACATATATTTTTTTAATATTACCATAAATTTATAACTTTCTTTACCAACTTTCTTCAAATTTTTACAATGGAGAAAAATTTGAAATAATATTTTCATAAAATTGAAAGTTTCTACTTGTTTTCGAATTTTATTTAAAAAATTTAAAAAATTTAATATTATGATATAACTTTAGAAGGTTGCCACCTTTTTCAAATTTTATTTCAAAAATTTTAAAACTGAAATATTATAAAATAATTACAAGGTTGCCAATACAATACCCTCATGATGATACAATATCATCTTAAATTTATAAGGTTGCCATCTTTTTTCAAATTTAGTTTAATAATTTTATTTATTTCGAAACTTGCCACCTGTTTTCAAATTTTAKTTAAAAAASTAAGAAAARTTTGGTATACAATTATCATAAACTTAGAAAGTTGCCACCTTTTTTCAAATTTTCTTTAATAACTTTAGAATGCTCTCGTCTTTTTCRGACTTTAGTTCAAGAAATGAGAAATATTTAATATAATATTACCATAAGTTTAGAATGTTGCCACCTTTTTCGAATTTTATTTAATAACTTTAGAAAGCTACCAGCTTTTTTCAGATTTTATTTCAAAAAATGACAAACATTAGATATAATAATATAATAAATTAAGAAGGTTGCCACCTTTCATCTAATTTATTTCAAAAATGAAAAAAATACAAGATAATATTATCATAAGTTTAGAAAATTTGAGAATTATTTACTATTACGATATCATAAACTTAGAAGGTTGCCACCATTATACAATTTTAGTATATTAATATTTGATACCCATAAAAAGTATCTACGAACTTCCTTTTTGATTGCATGTGAAAGGGCTTCTTAAACATTATGTGTTGGAAAGCTTACGAAACGAAGAGTTTGACGATTTTTACCAGAAATTTATTTTCAGAAAGAAATTTAACAATGAGTGTGATACAAATTTTGTGCTTTGAATGGTACCATTGAAAATGCTGCAGAAGTGTTTTAGAGAGTCTACTTTATCACGAGCAGAAGTATTTAAGTGACACAGTAAGCATTCAGTGAAGGACGTGAAGTCATCGAAAWCTTGCCTCATCTAACGTCTACGTTAATGACGTGACGATAATATCGCAAAAGTTAAGAAAACAGTACTGGCAAATCATCGTGTTGGCATTTAAGAGATAAAAACACATTTTGGCTAATGTTTTAGGTATGAAACTTCCTGAATATTCTTCAAAAATGCAATGGTGTAAAGGTCGCAAAAGCTGTCAATGGCAACGTARCCTAGGGCCTTACATAAAGAGAAAGCATCATGACATAAGATTTTATGTGGCGCTTCAAAACTGTGCTGAAGCCGAAAAAGACGAAATACGTTCAATGTACTGAAGATCGATCCAGTCAAGGCTTGTAACACGTATATGGAATATTCTTTAAAGCATTTAAATGTTTGTATTCACTGCAACGACAGCACATAGTCTTTTTCAATCGAAAAATCGTATTTTTTAAAGAAATTTCATCACACTTCGCTTACCACCTAGTTACTTAAGAAATGGTTTACTGGAACATGATACTCGTAAGGAAGTAGCAGAAAAATTAATTAATTAAGTGCCCGCTGAGTGATCGAGAATATCTGGATTAAGCTGAAGCTCTTGTGCGTAAAATTAACCGCAAGTAACGCTTGAAGTTCGCCATAATATTTATTATTTCAAATCTTACTTAAGAATCTCTAGAAGAAGCATTCACCACTGAATGAACTGCACTAACCAGAATCTAACCACTAACCAGAATCTACGGCTTTCTCTTTGTTTATTGCAGCCTTCTAGTAAGAGAAGTGAAAATTTTACGAGTAAACCCCTTTTTGGGACAAACAGTTGAACTACAGTCAAAAAACTGCACTCATTGAACTACAAATCAGTAAGAATTGAAGCATTATAATCTAGGAAAGAAAACTCATATCCTGAGTGTGTTTTCAATTTCAAAATCAAAATTGCACGWCACAAAGAGTTGCTACAGTTGACTCTATATATTTGCGGTTACAAACTACTAATTACTTACAAGGAGACCATTTTCCATRCCGATAGTGACTCCAGCTTTGTTTACTGGTGGTGCCTACCAAAAACCACCCGCCAGCATACCACACCAACGACCATCACTCACACTAACAAATGGATATAGTCATCAAAGTATGCAAGTTTTCTTGGAATTGGTTATGTCTCTT